CTAGTCATGATGCATTCTGCCGCAACAGTGCTACCACTCGACCATCTTAACCCGCTCCTTGAGGTTTTTACCCTTCACCCGCTTGATCAGGTTATTGCCCTGTTAGCGAAGATGCAACGCACCAAGGTGTGCTTACAAACAGCAAGAACTTGAACGGCTAGTCAACTTCGTGACCTGGAGCTGACAGCCACCACAAACTCAAGCACACGGGCGAGAAGGCGTACATATGCGACGAGTGCGGCAAGACATTACTCGCGCTCGGCCTACCTGTACGTTTTTCACTTGTGTTTACTGTTGTGGATCTTTGTTATCTTAAAGATGGCAATTCTCCTGCTGTGTATCATACTACTGTCGTTCCCGGCCATATCTAGTGCCACACTCAACTCTACAAACGGCTACCCTCGTTACTTTGCGTCCATACTTGTTGCTCGATTTGCCACTACACCTGCAAATGAAACAGCTCATAGACACTTCTACACTCCATAATTGTATCCTTTTAAACCCTATCTTTGTCCCATTACTTCACCAGCACTCCTTCCAAACTTCATTCTGCTCTTAAAAATAACACCATCTGCGAACTGCTGCTATTCGTCCAAGGTTCACCGCTCTTCATCCTTTCACAGAAAATACTTGTGCAAACTATTAATTCTACTTTTCTTATTTCTGGGTGGTATTGAGCTTCATCCTGGCCCAAATATAAAGAACTCGTATAATTCTGTAGATTTTTCTGGCAGGAAAGGTGTTGGTGTTCTACATGTCAACATCAGAGGGCTTGTGATTAAATTAAGTCAACTTAAACTAGAAATGGCAAATCTTGACCCGGACATTTTTTGCCTAACAGAAACATTTCTCATTCCTGCCGTCAATGACTTGCAGATTACGATTGACAACTACAACCTTTTTCGGCTTGACCGAGGATCTAAAGGAGGTGGAATTGCCATCTATGTTTGTAATACTATTGCATGTTCACCAGCTCACTCCTTGTTTAAAAAATGTTGCTTTGAAGGTTTGGCTCTCAGAATAACTAAAAAAATCTACAGATATTGGTAGTGTGCTGCTATAGACCGCCTAGTGGGAAGGATGTTGAAGCTGCATCTGCACTGAGAGAGCTTTTTGGGGGCCTCCCTAAAGGTGAAATAGTTTTAGTAGGTGATCTAAATTGGAATTGGCTAAACCCGCCGGCCATGGCCACAAATTTTACAGATGAATTTAACCTGTTTCAATTAATAAATGTCCCCACAAGACCCAACCTAAAAAATCCGGGACAGTCATCTCTGCTTGACGTCCTATTGACAAATGCGCCTCACAATTTCACACTGACTGGTGTTCTGGGTAATAACCTTAGTGATCACTCCTTCATTTTTGGTGTGAGATCATCAGCCAGTCCCAAAGCCCCCCCTAAATTGGTTGAGAGGCACTCTATGAGACACTTCAGCACTCAGGCATTTACTAATGATGTGCTTCACTCGGATATTGACAAGGTCTGTGATATCCCCAACCTGACTATGGCTTGGGAGACCTTCAGGTACACGTTTCTCCAAATTCTTAACAAACATGCTCCGTTGGTTAGATTTAAAACTAAAGGCAACCGCCCACCATGGTTTGATCCTTTGATTACAAAGCTCATGAAAACTAGGGACAAGGCTTGGGCATGTGCTCAGAAAAGTAATTTGGTCAATGACTGGCTAGAATACAGGACTTTAAGGAATAAATGTGTAAAAAAAATACGGCATGCAAAAAATGCCTATTTTTCCTCCACTCTCCTGAAATCACATGGAAATGCCAGGATTTTCTGGAAAACAATAAAATGTATCGAAAAGGCATTCAAAATAGACAATCTGCCCGTTGAGCTTAACCGAAATGGGGAATATTTTTCAGATCTGTATTGGGAGTCACCCCTGCTCATGCAAATTCCGAAACCCCAGTCCAAACATTAAACGAATTTAGTTTCCAGCCAATCCATGAAAGTAATGTTCTGAAACAACTGTCCTACCTCAAAGGGTCCTCCTCTACCGGAGCAGATAGTATTCCTGTCTTTGCTCTACTAACTGTTGGTCACCTAATATACAAACCTATAGACCATATTTACAACCTGTCCCTCAAAGAAGCATCAGTTCCTCTAGAATGGAAACATTCCTATGTCTGTCCACTTCACAAAGGGGCCCTAAAGATGATCCAAATAACTACCAACCTATCTCAATTTTGTCCCAGTTGATTAAAATTTTTGAAAAATTATTGACCTACCAAATTAGCAGTTTCCTGTCCACCAACAATCTACTACATCTAAAACAATCTGGGTTCCGAAAAAAATACAGCACCACATCTGCTGCATTAGACTCTCTGAATCACATTTACAGTAGCCTTGATAATAAGCAGTACTGTGCCTGTCTTTTTCTAGACCTGTCCAAAGCTTTTGATATAGTAGACCACAACACCCTGCTTAGTAAACTAAGTTGCCTCGGTTTTTCTGAAAACGCAGTAAAATGGTTAAAAAATTACCTCTTTTCTCGCACCCAAACTGTATTCACAGATGGTTGGAGGTCAAACAGTGTTAAGATAACAAAAGGGGTTCCAAAGGGTTCCATCCTCGGCCCCCTTTTGTTCTCTCTTCATGTCAATGACTTGGGCACTTACCTGGATTATTCCAGGGTACATTTTTTGCATATGACACGATACTGATTACTGCTGGCCGCTCTCCGGATGACGTGATTGCTAAGCTACAGGGTGATTTCAACAAACTACAACATCAGCTAGTTGCTCTTAAACTAGTCCTGAATACCTCCAAAACCAAGGTGCTATGCTTCTCACCAGGACTAAAGCAGGAAGTTATTTTTCCCCAATTACATTCCTTAAATAATTGTCAAATAGAGCAAGTCAAGATCTATAAGTATCTTGGGGTCATCCTGGATTCAAAACTGAATTTTAAAGATCACATTGATTATATTGGTAAAAAGACAAAAATAAAAATTGGTTATTTGTGTCGACACAAGCACTGCTTCCCCCCAATGTTCCGTTTGGAATTGATGAAAGCTACCATACTGCCTCTACTTGACTACTGTGACATCGTGTATAAATCAGCCCCAAGTACTGTACTGAAGAAGCTTGATTCCATCTATCACTCGGCCTTAAGATTTACATTGAACTGCCCATATAGGACTCACCACTGTGATCTCTACATTGGGTCAAACTTAACATATCTTAATGTTCGACGGCTTGTGCACCAGATCTTATTTATTCACGATGTACTTACAAAAAAATCCGCAGACTACCTGCTGGATCTCCTCTCTGTTTCAAAGAACAAATTTGACCTCAGGTCTTCGCTCATTTACCAGCTTCACATTCCCTATTGCCGTACAAAAACTGGAGGAAGAGCCTTTGCTATTGATCCCCCCAGAGTCTGGAATGCTATTGCCAATAAACTGCAACTTGAATCGCTACCAATGAGATCTTCTCTCAAAACTGCTTTAGATGAGTTGTACACCCCTAGCTGCCACTGCTATTCATTGGCGTAAAATAAAATAAAATGTTTCACTCCGGATGACGCTGCAAAGTATTATCTGTATTTTGATTTAGCGTGCTGATCTTAAAGGTGCATTGAAAAATTTGATACGCCGACCGATGCTTCTGTTGTTGTGGAGTAACTCATGCAGCCAGCTATGGCTCTAGGATTTGGTGTTACATGTTATTTATGTAGTTTATTGTAAAAATTCGGTCACAGTCCTTGTGATCACTGTTACGTTGCAATTATGGCTTTATTTTTTGGTGATTTTGAAAAGTTTTTTGGTTTGGACATGTTTGTTTTGTTGTAGTACGGAGTTAGACTGATGGCATCAATCTAAGTTGTTGTGGTTGTTGCTGTTGTTGTTTGACTTGCATCCTACTGGGATTTTTTGCACACAGCGTTGGTGTACGGTGCTTTTTTCAGGAATATTTTTGCTGTTTTTTTCCATGGATTTTCTGTTTGCACAGTCACACACAGTCACTTTAAGATGTTTTTCTTGTTCGTGTTTTTTTGTTTGTTGTGGTTGCACCCGATTCAAGAGCCGAATGGCTCACAGGGCTATACCAAAATAAACTGAACTGAAAACTGAACTGAACACTCAATACCCATTGAGCCCAGAGCTTGTGTAATTAACTATTTATCCACCAACCCTTGTTCACACCACCAGTGCTGGATCACTGGCCACGTACACCTTAGCCTGCAGCTCCCGACTATCAGTGCAACACACAAACTCAAGGCGCTAGTGCACTGCAGCTATTCAGAGTGAAGACAATGCAGTAGCCAATTAGCAATTATATAGTTAGGGCCCATGAATATACTGCAGTCTATGGCTCAAATCAACGCATGTTTATAAGTTACATGTAATGTACAATTTAGAAACCGTAGTCTTGTAATGAACACTATACATTTAGCCTCTATCATAAACTACTGTATAGTTATTTTAAAGTTGTTGAAGTTTTTAAAGCACACACTTCTCTGTGCCTACACCGAGCAACTCGTAGAGCAGTAATGAATGATGACGTTGTCATCTTCGGTACATACTGCACTGTATATATATTGTGAGGTGGTGTATATATTTAGAAAACACGACCCTGCGAGTTACATTTGCATTGACCTTTCTTTCTATCGTATGGCTGTTGTAGATGCAGAGACACCGACTAGAATTGCACATGCAGGTGGTCAAACCAGATCATAACCGCGTAACGAGTAGGGAATCGCTCCGATGTCTCCTTTGTGTCTTTGGCTCTTGCATTGCCTCGCTCCTCGTTGTACCACGGTCTGTTCTGGATGACCACAGCCGCACACTGCTGGGAGATTTCGATTTAAAGCTTTCGTGACTGCAAGGATTCATCTTCTTTGGTTCTTTCGGTAAAGTCACGTAGAATGAGAATAACATAATAAATTGATAAAATAAATCAATTGATCAAATAAATCAATTTATTATTTTATTCTCATTCTACGTGACTTTACCGAAAGAACCAAAGAAGACCGCTGGGAGAGTTTTAACTTTTAAATGCATTGGCAACGGCATCACAACGGAAGCGCGCGGTGCTGCACGGGAATTCCCAGCGTGTTGGGCAATGCACGTGAATGACTCGAGCATAATTACAAAAGTTTATAGTTAATTACGTCTTCGCTTAGGCATTTTACAAAGAGAGGTGGATGGGAGGAGTACGTAATAGGTTTTAAAAAGCGCGTGTGTGTGTGTGTTTTGTGCCTTTAAAAACGGCGGGGCGTGTATGAGCTTTGTGTATTCCCGTGTCGATTCAGCTGCCGTGCCCGCCACACTTTTTGGGCTAAAGTCGCAGTGGGAACCGCCGGCGTCTCTGGCGGCGGGGTGGGGGGGGGGAGATTTGGGAAGACCGGGGCAGCATCCGGCCCATCCCCGAACACTGACAGACGAGTGATGATCCAATCTCCTCCTTAAGATTATTTTATTTTTTCTTCAGGATGGCCCTCGCATCACCTCGCGTGGACGTCCTGCTGGCCAGTCAGCTCTGCAAGCCACTGGGTGAAAGTCCCTACGTCCAGGGTCGCTGTGTCAATCGTCTAACCACCACCACCACCACGACCGCCACTGCACAAGGTAACAACGACGACGGCGACAAGAGTCACTGCCTCACAGGTGAGAGCCGGGCACCCGATCTGGCGCGTTCTCTGACGAATGAGTCACGCTCCTCGTTTATTGGACACCCGCGCGGCTACAACCACATCCGTCGTCGACACGAAGCGAGGAGTTTGCACCAAGTGAGGTGGGAGGGTTGGGGGCTGCTGCTGCTGCGTTCGACCTGCGCGGAGCCCCCTGCGGGCGCCAACGGGCTCATAGAGGAAGCGGCGTTGGTGGAGCTTCCTTCCTGGCATTGTGGCTGCACCCCCCTCCGCTCTCTCCCTTTTGCGAGGTGACCCCCCCCCCCCCTCTCCGCGTGGCCGATGGTCACGAGCTGCGTGCCAAAAGCACTTCCCCTGGAACAACGAACGGGCAGAGCAACACCGTAGCCAAGGGGGCAAGCGGGTTGAGAGGCGTTTTTGGAGCCGGCGGCGCCGGGGAGGGTCGGGGTGGTGAGAGGATGTTGGATGGAGTCGCTTAGTTGGGGACTTCTTCTGGGAATCTCAGCCACCCCTTACGTGTGAACTGTCGCTGTTGTCCTCGCCTGCAGTTCAAATCGTCTCGTTGCGGTGTGCCTCGCCAAATTTATGATGAAAAACACGTTCTGAAAAATTGGTGAAAGTTTTGGTGGGGCGTGAGGGGGGGGGGGGTTCCCCCTCTGGTCCTGAGCACTGCACAGATGGACCCACATCCAGCCAGAGGGCCGCTCTATGACTGCGGGTATTGCATTCCTGTCACCCCATGCGGGTTTACCCGTATTCTTGTGCAGGGAAATTGAGTTATCAGGTCCATACGGGGTACATCCGTTTCAATATGGGCTAAACCCCCTTTTTGTCAATTTGTTTGTATTTCTACCTTGTGATGGGACTCTGTAGGATGAACGTTGAGGTTTATAAGGGCACTGGGTGACCAATAAGGTCTGAATTGGTCTGTAATAATGTATGCATTGATAAGGGGTTGACGGGTATGGGGCCATCCACAAATGACGTCACGCGATTTTGGACGATTTTTGACCCCCCCCACCTAGTTATGTGACGTCATTTGTGGACGGCCCCTATGGTATTGCACGGGTTGGCTACGTACGGTGCTAAAAGACGTTCAACATACGGTAGAGTGAAGTGCCTGCGTCTGTTGTGTTGGGCATTGAGGGATTAGGTACGAGGGGGGGAGGTGGTCCCAGGGTTGGTGTGCTGACTGAAATTGGGACCTGCCCGCCAACCACAGTCTCGTTGAGCTTTGGATTTTTCTGACACAAGCTATGAATTCTGCTGATATTTATGACGGAGGAGTAAATCCTCTGTGCCAATTGGGACGCATTGCTGGCAGATTCATTCTTGAGATCACTGTCTCGTGATTGCAGTAACATCTTAAAGAAAATTGAGGTGTACAGTTTTTGGTATTGAATCTTTGCGTGTTGGGGAAATTCGCATTCATTCATGTGATCAGGACAAATTATAATAGCAATATAACAATGTGATATCTTATTTTTGCTATGACTGTATCATTATCAGAAGTGACCAACATGGTGAAGTATATGTAAACAAAAGAAATCGCCACCAACTGCATGGTGTGCAGTTAGGGCCTCATCCAGCAGTGTATTGACAAAGGGCTTGCTGTACACGTACACATTGTTAGTACGTACTGCTGTAAGTATCGAACCGGAGCACGGCATGCCTCGCATTGTCTTCTGAAGAGAGTGTTGTATTTTGCATTAATTCATTGGGTCCATTTAAGCCAGCAGAGCGGCATGCACACACACTGACCTACTTTAGAGGCGTGCACCATGGGATGTGTGTGAGCGGCAGCAGGGAGCAGCTGGCTTGGTGTGTGTGTGTGAACGCACTGAACACGTCTCTAGTCAGTGGGGCTTGCGCCCGAATCAGCAAACCTTGAAATAGAAGGCGAGCATGATTTCTCCATGTGTCTAGCCCGCATGCATTATTTGTGCGAGCTATGAATGTTTGTTGAGGCATTTAAACAAGGTGTGTGTGCGTGCGCTGCGTTAACCACGGCCTAACGAATGGGACACGCCAACCAGTGCTCGGGCTGTGTCACTGTAAACGTCAACATGATCATGAACCTCGATATGTCCACAGCTCAATCCCTCCGCTGCTCAAGGCCTCCTCAAGCCGTCAATAATCCTCACGCCGTCAATAATCCTCACGGTCACGCCATGCAACAATCCATCAAGCCGCTGCTACGCGAGGTGATCTCGTCAATCCGTCTCTATGGTGGACGTCCTCTCGTCTTTGTCCCTCGTTTGGCTGCCACTCTGTTGTTAGTCTCCACCACTGGCGATCGTCCCTTATAGCGACGGGTGATGCCAAAGCCCACTTACATTTTTTAGCGGTCTACGTGCCGTGTCTAACGTGTGTATATTATATGATCCACGTGATTGTCTTTCTGTCGCTGCCAGGCATGTACCTCTGATTACAGCCATTCCTCTGTAGGCACTAGTAAGTTGTTATTTATATTAAATAACAAAAAAATTCCAAAAGCATTCCAACCGGTGGTTATCCACCACTTAATTTTATCAGTTTGATTCCCATTCTCTCTTCAGTAACTGCCCTATGTAAACACACTGCTGTGTTTCCCAAAGCAACTGTTACTATTGTTTTGTTCGTTTTTATCTGGAGCCTAACTTAGCAGTTTTCTTCATTACAGATATATTATATTATTATTGATCGTGACGATAATTGGGAACAGAATATCAGAAAATGTAGGGGCCAAGCAACCACATGAGCAAACTGGGATTACGAAAGGTTTCTCAATCATTGGCCACATACATTTGATCAGATCCTGGAAAAGACTCTCATCAAATATTCTGCCGAGCTTGTGTAGAGTATGGATCAACATTTGATTTGGTGTAGATTTATGCAGTCATCCAGACTCACACAAATCACAACCTAGATACAAATTATATATAGAGCAATCCCGCGCCAACCGTCCAATCATTTATACCGTGTTCATTATCTGTATAACAATTTACCAACCATGACCTGCAAATGTTGAGTATCTACGGGTAAGCACGAGTCCGCAACACGCATTTACAAATTTGGCAGGCCAGCGGTTCTCCTCCATGCCGCAAATCCACCCATGGCTACCCGTGGCGCTGCGTGGCTTATTACCTGTCCATCTGTTTTGTTGTACTGTTTCGCATTGCAACTGCATTCACATTAACCCTTTCCCATTGCGAGACGTCAGTAAGTAAGACATTGTACTGTACTCACCACAGAGAACTTTAGCAACATGACCACACTATGATAGCTGGCGCCAAACTGCCATACACCCTTCCGAATTGCCTTGTGGGAGCCTCGGTACCTGAAGACGTACCAATAAAGTTATTTTAGTTTTTCTTGTGATTCCATTTCGATGGCGTACACGTACGCCTGCCCACTCATGTCATTGATAACCCAGATGAAGAGGGGGAGGGTGGGCTGAGCCCCTCCTCTTTCTAACTATCCCTTCCCCCATGGTCTCATTGTCATTATCATTGTTAATATTAAAAGTACAAAAAGTTAATGTAATGTTAATTTATGTTTTCTTATGTTATTCTGTATTATAATGTTTTATTCCGTGTTTCATAAACAAGCAAGTTAGTTAAGCTATGACGAGTCTGACCGTGTCCGTTGGTTCCCCTAACCCCCTATTTCCCATCGGCCCCTGTACTTTATCCACCGCGGATTTGCCTACCATGGCCTTTTCCAGGAACCTAACCCCCGCGGTCAGTGAGGGATTGCTGTACAGGCGAACCTTGCCCAACACTGCTTTATTGAATGTATGCTTCGGCTCTACACGGTGTACGTAATGGGGACTGTTTTATGAAACATGGGGGTGAAGGCCGTGCTGGTAGCATAAAAGGAGCCGAGAGCGGGAGCTCAAGGCGGCTGGTTCTGGGAGTGGACTCGTCACCGTCATCGCTGCCGTCTTCGCTAGATATTGCGCTACAAGATAGTAGTGGGCTATCTCAGTCAGCGCCGTCAGTGTTAGACGGTTGTGTTGTGTACACGCTAGGCTAAGCAACTGTGGAGAGTGTGTGGACGAGACCGTGAAAGTTGTTAAATAAAGAAGGTTCCTCCTACAAACCTTGTCTTTGAATCAGACACTACACATATATGAATAACGTAGGATTGAATCCATTTTGGTATTTTTCTGACTAATATTCATCATGCATTAAACACGTTCCTTCAGAGTGGGCAGGTAGGAACTTGGTTGGACAGCGCATTCGTGCGATCCGTGTTGGATACCGTAGTCGTGTTGGAGGTTGTAGCTGTTAGTATTGCATCCGATGATGAATCTTGATTTATTGCTGATCTTGGTCTTTAAGTTCATGCAGCTGCTGCAGCAGCAGGTCGCTACCCCTGTGCTGTGACGCCGCCTCCTGCGTGTACCACGCGCCAATCAACCTGACCTGGTCCTTGAACGGCCACGATGCTGTCGTAATCGCGCACCACGGTGCATGATGTTGAGCAGGGCGTAGACGCCCCAGTCGTAGCCGTTCGGTTGCTGCGGCACAAACACCGTGGCTATCGACACCGGCGTGCTCGCCAGTTCGGCGCGCACGACCCGGGCCACCACCGCGCTGGCGAAGGCCGCGGTGCTCTTGGCGTTGCGCAACTGCCCCCGCGCGCAGCCATTGAGTCTAACAGCATGGCAGTCGACCTTGGTGGGCACGTGGCGTTGACGATGACCATATGATTTGCGTATTTGCATACGGAGGATATCATACTTTGTTCAAGCTAAAAACAACACTCATCAAATACGGATAAAAATTAGTGCTGAAACTCCAATTATGCGGATGGAATTCCGGATATGCACGACAGACAGACAAATAATTCCTGGTGGGCAGTGTGGAACCTGTTGTTCCTACCTGTATAGTATTTGTAAATGCTAATGATGTGGATATACTATATTTTAGGTATGTGTGTGTCTATGTATGCAAGTAGCGGTGCAGCAATTCGTACACAACACTACAATTCTGAGTTGGATTCCTGGCCATGTACATCAGTGGAAAGAGGTATCTGAACCTGTACTGGACATCACCGAGGTCAACTCAACCTTAAATAAGTAGCTGGTGAAGTTTGTAAATATCAGCAATGGAGGGAAACAAAATGTGGCCGGGCATGTTGCTGGCCATGTTGCTGGCCATGGTACACCCCAATTCCTGTGCCAACCTTAACAGGAGCCCGCTAACCCCACTCATCCCGACGGTCTCCTGGGCGGAATGAATAATGTACGTCTTCGTGTGTTAGTATGCAGTACTGTGTACGTATATTAACTCTGATTGTGTTCAAATATAAAAATATATATCATAGGGACTTAGAGGTGCGACCACAACTTAATGCCAAGGGTGGCGAATTTAGCTTTTATTGGTGGTCGTGTGTGCGGTAGTGTTCACACGACGTGCGGCAAGCGTGGAATACATGTGCGAGCTTCGTCTCCCAGAAGATGGGCGTATTAATGTTTACACTGGCCAGGAGTCAGAGCTGCCCCCGCTAGCACGGCACTGTACCCTCGCTCGGTGCGCCGGCGTCCCAGCGAACCTTCCTGCGTTTGTCTCCCAAGGAAGTGACTGCACAAGGAAAACAATGGTCTGTCACATTGTGTTATGCGGCTGCTCAACCGGATCACTTAATTATTAATGTTTGTGATTGCATGAAAAAAGGGACTCACTGTCGACGTTACATCTCGCCGCAAATCACCAGGCCTCCAGACAATACACGTGGAAATTAGAAAATATTAAAATAATTGCACGCGCTTGGGATGGAGGAGTGCTTCGCTTAGTTTCGTGGCCAAAATTAAGTGTCGAGTGTAATTGGGAAAATGTTTTGGCGGAAAGACAAAGGGCCCCCTGCAAAAACAGGTGAAGGTATTATTTTTGCTCAATCGTACGTTTTAAAATTAGTGACCTACTTTTTTTCATTTGGCCTCATGTTTTGGACGGTCATACAGTGAAGACCAATTTGGCGATGGGGATTGATTGCACACTTCACTGACCTGTCGCATTAAGGAAGCACAGACAGCAAGATGGGAAATCGGGGTCGGTTTTGTGGGATCCGGCCCTTTGTTAAAGAAATATTCTGCAAGCTGGCTGACTCGTCGGCGCGCCTCCATGTAAGAGTGCCACGCTTAAAAAAAGAAAAAGAAAGAAAAAAAGTACATAATCGTTTATCCAAATGTAGGGCAGCCAAGAGCAGCTGGGGGTGTGTGGCCATGTGTGGCGTTTTCTGTGATCTACGCTCACTATTAGCCGGCGTTGCGTTTTTTGTTTTGTTTAGATTTTTTTTTCTTTCCCCCGCTGTATGTAGCCGCAGCGAGGCCGGCGCAGCGTTGGCGGCGGTGCCGGACCATGGAAACGTTGGAGTCGGAGCTGACCTGCCCTATCTGCCTGGAGCTCTTCGAGGACCCCTTGCTGCTGCCTTGCGCGCACAGCTTGTGCTTCGCGTGCGCCCGTCGCATCTTCGTCTCCCACTGCACTTTTGGCGGCGGCGGTGGCAACGGCAGCGGCGACACTCCCGACTCCGTGTCCAGCGCCTTCCAGTGCCCAACGTGCCGCTATGTAATCACGCTCGGCCAGCGTGGATTACAGGGGCTCAAGCGCAACGTCACTCTGCAGAACATCATCGCCCGCTTCCAGAAGGCCTCCATGAGCAGCAGCGGCCTCGGCTCGCCCGGCGGCAGCCGGGAGGAGATCTCGCCGGGAGGGTCCTTCTTGCCGGACGCCAACAGCGGCAGCACTGGTAGCGCCGGTAGCACCGGCAGCGGCAGCAATGGAAGCACGAGCGGTGGCAGCTGCTGTGGTGGAAGGGGGGGCGTCGAGGTCCTCTGCCAGTTCTGCGAGTCGGAGCCGCCGCGCCCGGCCGCCAAAACGTGCACCACCTGCGAGGTGTCGTACTGTGAAGAGTGCCTGCGCGCCACCCACCCCAACAAGCGGCCCTTCACTGACCACCGGCTCACTGAGCCGACGGCCGCGGGAGGGCCCGCGCGGGGCCCCATGTGCGCCGAGCACGAGGCCGAGAAGGTCAACATGTACTGCGTGACCGACGAGCAGCTCATCTGTGCGCTGTGCAAGCTGGTGGGCCGGCACCGCGAACACAAGGTGGCATCACTCGCTGACCTCTACGCCAAGCACAAGGTGAGGGGGGCACGCGATCTGCCTGTGTCAACAGGGCTCTTGGTCCTCTGATCTTATTTGTAAGCAGGTTGTGCATCTGATTGCTTTAATGCCATCGTTGACAAATCGTGTACACATCGTACACAAATATGCAATTTATTTCAAATCTAAATTCTGCGTGGAGAACGTTCATTTACCTGCGTTATGTGCTGCAGATGAAGACCAATAAGTAGCCTAGAAATATACGGTGTCTTTTACAATGTGTATGATGTATAGATGCGGTGTACGTGAGCTGCTGTGGTGTTAAAGTCAGCGCACTGGACTTGCAATCCGTGGTCGCCAGTTCGATTCGATCTCCAGGCGCAGCAGTTGAAACGATGAAGCAAGTTTCTCAAATCTTCCCACCTCTGTCCACCCAGGAGTATAAATAGATACACCAGAGTTTGTCGATCGGTCGTGTGTAGTGGGATCAAGTGGGGGTACTCCCACCTCTTCCAAGCCGTCTGGCTAGCATGGAAGAGTAGGCCACATGGCTTCTTGAGGAGCCTTCTAGAGCTCCCTCGAGCTTAAGTTATTTCATCAGTAGTGGCATGAGCAATCAATTGTGGGGCTGTGCCTTCAGATGTATTGTAATATATATTTATACACTCATTATTTACCTGTGTGAGAACTCTTCGAGATGTATTATTTTGTTTTCAAATGAAATACTGGCAATCACAACTACAATGGGTAAAATACAAATGTAAAAAAATTATCTGTGGGCATTTGGCATATGGGCTATGACATTGTGTGTGTATTTGGATTCCAGTGCATGCACGGCATAACACCTCCCACTCGAGCTGAGCGCAAGAAGAGTTTAGCACGAGCTTGCAGGACTCTGAAGCTTCCTTATCCTCATACAGAGTGAATGCGGGGGGGGGGGGGGGTCTTCACTCATAATGATTCCTACTTTCTCCAGGACACCAAAGGCAGAATCTACTTGCCATCCGCACAATCAGCGAAGGCACGTACGTGCATGCATAATGTACGCTGTACAAATTTACCATTGCTCCAGGATGCGTGTGAAGGCACGATGTTTAATCTTAACGGGTGTTCCTGTTTAACTATTTCAAATATATTAGTAAACATATACATTATGTCAGTAATGTGCAGGTTGAAACAGGACTGAGTCTGATAGGTTCATCCGTGTATTCTACCTGTTAATTATTTTTGTACAAGTAGGCATCAGGTCACTTTGGATTTGTTTGCCAATAAAAATCACGTTCCTAGCACCAAAAGTTTCTTAGAAAACTCAGTGTGAAACCTCGCAGTATAATATAATGTGCCACGACACAGTTTGGTTTGTCTGAATCACCGTCTCTTTGTGCAGCTGTTGAAAGAATGGAGCAATTCTCTTAATTCTTCCCACCTATGTCCACCAAGCAGCATACATGATTTTACTGCAGTTTGTTGATCAGCAGGTTGTGTGCGGTGGGGTAAAGTGTTGTAACGCTCACCTCTCTCACCTAAGACATTTGGCCAATGTAGAAGGATAGGCCAAATACCCTTGAGTTGGAGTGTGGCTAGAAAGCTCCCTCAAGTAGATGAATCTCTGCCAGATGTGGCGTGAGCAATAAATTGTAGCTCAGTCGGCCGTGCAGGAATGGGTCGTGAGATTGTGAGCTCAGAACCCAGCCAGGGTGAACTCGGCCCTCCCGTTCCTCGGAGGTCACCATACAGAGAGAGTAAGCACCACCTAATGAGGCTGCACCCAATTGCATCACCAAGAGGCAGATTGGCAGCCACTGCTTAATTGGAGCAATGGTCACGAACGTGGATCATATAAGATGGCATGCAGCTACAGAATCCACCCTGTATAAAAAAAATCTATTTGTTCTCATGGCAGTCTTCATCTAATTCTTTGTGGTAAATAAGTAGCCTGCAACCTCTCGATTTTCACATTCAATCTGTTTTTGTGTGTATTATATGTGGCTTGTTCTATTTTCATGTGCAAGGTTTTTTTTCCCATTCAGGCATTATTCAAAACTTAACAGCTGGGCCACCGAGGTTTGAATCCCTCGGGGTGTTACGCTGAGTTCCTGTAGCATTAATGTCGCGAGAGAATGAAAGGGCTTAAGAAAAAAAGCAATTACAAGACTGCTGTCTTGAGTTGGGGCTACAGTTATTACTGGCAAATATTTTTTTAAATCCTCTAAGCTGTTGAGAATGCACTGACGTGGTTATACTGTGGTGGTGAATCATAGTACCTGGACTTCACGGACGACTGTTCATAATTATACAATTACATTTAAGATTAAGAACCCATTGTACCCAATAGCAATGGCACCACATCGCCTCACCATTGCTGCCTTCCATCTGACAGTTCCCACAGCAATTGCACAGTCAGTGCCGATTCCCATCATTTAAGTCAGGGTCTTCCCCTTAGGTCTCAGGCCTCTTGCTGCCATTCCATTGCCTGTCTCCGTAACTTGCCTCTTTATCTGTCCTGACTTTGTCAGAATACTCAGATCAGAGATGTGGAATCGGCAAACAATGATATTGCAAGGTTGCAATTACCCACAAATGATATTCTCCATGTTACTTACTGCAATGCTTCTTATATGATCAGAATAGGAAATTATTATCCGGGCGGTGGTGGTTATGCTGCACATGGCCTGTAATTCAGCACTGTTGAGGCAGTGTGGTCTCGTGGATAACACATGTTGTGAAACTCATTTCCCTTGGGCGTCAAAGAGGTGCCTTACCCTGACTTGCCAGGAGAAAGCTGCCTATTCTGTCTGTATGGGATAGAGTGTCCCCTTGCACGCGTGGGATTTCTCCAGGCGTTGCGATTTCTTCCTACATTGTTTGGCTGAAAATATCTTCATATATAGGAGACAGCAGAGCTTGGGAAATTGTTGGTGCTGGCTCATGGCCTGATTGTCTGGTTCTCTCTCTTCGAGAATAAGCAAATACTGCATGCTACAATGTGACATTAATTATCATTACATCTTAATGATGGGAACTGCATTACTTCATAGTGGTTATTATAATTTAACATTAACAGTATTTTTAATTCACTGCTGGATGAAATCCTCTCTGCACCATGCCAAATTTAAAACTAATTTTCTAGATTGGAAACTCATTTCTTTAGAATTGCTTTTTGTGTTTAGTTTGTTCTTACCCTGCACCTTCGATTAGCTACATACGGTGCAAAAGAAATTCAACATGTGCACACACACACACAGTTATGGGGTTTGACCATACTTCACCATAATGGTCGGTATTGGTTGGTGAGAGGTGCCCTGGAACCAGTTCACGTGCCACTGACGTGAGCAGTGGTGGGGAATCGAACTCAGATTGCCGGGTTCACCTGGCACTGTCCACACCTTGGCGCCACCGCTCACAGCTCATTACTAATTTATGTGATTGGCACTTTAACATTGAATAGCAATCGTGCACCTTGTGTCTACTGCCCCTGTAACACCACGGGACACGTTGCGTGTGCTGAGCAGGAGTTGCAATTTTTAGGACATTTTACTTCTATATTCTGTCATCACCACAGATCATTGCTATTATCATTTGATGATACATTTTGAGATTTCTTGTCAAGGGGATCATGTAAGGAATACAGTTCAGGACATGCGTTCATTAACTGAACCTTTACTGCATCCACTTGCTGTGAAAAAAAGGTAACGTTTTTATGCAGATGAGTATGGCCTTTTAACCAGTGGGCTTGGAAGTTACTAATTTCTATCGTGGGGGCCAGTCTCTCCATAGTTCAACCACTGTTGACCTATTTTTATTGACGCTGCACGGGGTTAATCGGCTCGGCCGACTCTACGGGCCAGGGTTTGAGGCTGAAGCGGAGCAAACAGCCCCATCATCCTCAGCCAATGCCAAACAGATGCGGGAATGGCACTGCTGACGTCACTCAAACTGGCTGAGCGATCGTCATCATTGTCAGTCGCGGTCAATCCACTGCTGGATGAAGGCCTCCCCAAGCCACCGCCGCCGCCACCTCTCGCCATCCCACGGTGTAACAATCTACCTGGCACCTTGCACGTGAGCTGATTTCATCACTCCATCCCCTCGAATGACGTCCTCTCGGACGCGGTCTATTTCTTGGCTGTCCCTCCTTCATTACTCTTGACCGTCTTCCACATCCCTCTAGCAATGCACCCTGCTCAAGCCCACTTACTTTTCTTAAGAGTGTGGATGATGTCATTAACCTGGGTTTTTTTTATCCCGCTGTAATTCCAAGCAATGCACCTCTCCTCGCTTATCTGCGAGATTTTCATTTTTTTCTTCAATATCTTTCATGAATGACCGTGGTGATGGTTCTGATGTTTCTGAGCCATATGCCATTAGCAGGATGAGTCCAGACTGAATCAAACCTTTCTGCTGTGGGCGAATTGGTATGTTAATTTTCACGATCAATTCCAGCTTGCTCATCACTTAACCGTCCCTCCTCTCTTCAAATCAGAATGGCTCTGGTGGCTTTACTCCACGAGCAGGCACTAATTTGTAAAGGACTCGAGCCCCTGTCTGGTCGCGGCACTGTGGGAATGCCGCACTTAGCGCAGCTGCGTTTGGGGGATTTTTCAGTGCAGAGGGGGCCAGGGGAGGGCAGTTTCACCTCCCCACCCCCCCCCCCTTCAGACTCCCGCAGGGACCTCCATGGCTTTGTTTCATGATTATATCCCTTGAGTGTGTCCAGGCAACTATAGGCTAAAGGGTAAAACAACTCGTGGAGCTGTGTAAACGTGATAAGGCTTCAACAACAACTGACGAAGGCTCAGGTTTATTTAGGACCTGTTTTTTATATTTGGCCAAAATAAATGTTTCCACCGTCACGTAATAAATCGAAAACCCGGCCGTACGTTTTTAATGGAGCACTTATAGTGCACGGCATGAAATATAATCTATACGTTTATATTTAAAAAAACAGTGCCATCGGTTATTTTACAAAGTTCACACCTGACGTGTTCAGCACGCGATACCGTCTATTTCCAACTTACGCACATTATTTCAGATGCATG